AGATTTGGGAGTTATCCAGGGTTTGTGATTTCTGTAGACTCCCCAATGAAAGGAAAGTTGGGGGAACTTTCTGTCTTGGCAAGAGGGGAGACTGGAAGAGAGGGTGGGTCACTGGAGGTCACTGCAGCCTTATTCCATTCTGTCTACCAAAGAGCTTGTGGGCAGCAGAACAGCATGGAGCACACAAAGCGGGCAGCCTGGAGCAGCAGCCTGCCTGGCGCTAGAGCCTGACTTACCATTTCTTTCTTGCCTTGTCTGAAATGGCATATAATGGTACCCATCTCTCCAGGCTGTGCTGAGGATTAAATGGCGTCTCTGCAGACAACATACTATATGGTATAGAATGTGCTCTTCATAAATGTTAGCTCAGGATGTCTGGCCTCCACTTAGTGTGCAGCCACAGTACCAGGGGAGCTCACACCCATTTCTTTGCTAGACATTTCTACTGGGATGCTGCCATAGGCAGTTAGAACTTTGCATGTTCAAAGTTGAGCTCATTATTTGTTCTTAAAGGCTGTCACTTCTGTTTCCTAAGTGAAGCAACAGTACCAGAAGCCTGGGAGTCACTACCCTCTCCATATTGTCCTCTCCACTCTGCTTCCTAAGATGTCTTCAGTGTCCCCGTTCCGTTCCCACAGCAGTCTGTGGCTCCAGCACTTATGTCTCAGGCCTTCCTCACTCCAGTGCCAGTGAGCATCTCCTCTCCGTGACGAGCCACTGGGACTTTTCTTAAATGTAAAACTGATACTTCTCACCTCCAAACAGTCCCTTGACTCCCAGGATAAAGTCCAAGTTTCTGTGTCTGCTCTGCCCTACGTCTCTGGTCCCCTGACCCTCAAAAGCTCATTCCTTTTTTCCTCTTCATGTCCTCCACTCTGCCCTTTTGGGAGTGATGCTGGCATTGGGCAGCAGCAACCATTATCTGGTCCGAATTTTCAACATAAGCAGCTGTACTCCTCCTTGGACACCTACACTCGGGCCTATAGGCTTGGTTTATCTTCCTATGAGGCTGAGGCTGTACAACCTTTGAAAACAGAGGTCACAGTTACACTGTATCTGTTTCTAACTGCTCCCCTGCCCTCGGCACATGCTAGTGACAATTAATTGCTTGGACAAGCATATCAAGCTCTGGCTGTGCATTCGTAAATAGGACTTCTTGAACACACAAAGTACATATGTGTATGTTGTCTCACTTAGTTCTCGAGCATAGGAAAAAGGCACTGTATTATTATTTCTGCCTCCATTTTATTGAGACCAGGAGAATCTATGTAACTTATTTAAGATACAGAGCTGGAAAGTGGTTCAGACTCAAACCTAGCTGTTTCTTATCCCAGATCAACTGTTCTGTCCAACTGTCCTCTGACTCTCAGACAATTCTCCCTGAGGGAGAATGGAATATTTATAGCTTTTTACTAAACTCATTGTCTAGCATCTTGGAAACTGGTCTGAACAGCCTAACCAGAGAGGAACTTCCAAAACCATCCTAAAGAGAGAAAGAGGCCCTAACTCCAAAGCTTGTTCTGACAGTAGACATTTGCTGTTTTTCTAGGTATTCAAGGTTCAAGTGAAACAGCAAAGTCATTCAATAAAATGTTATTCCCCTCTCTGTGTGTTTGAGTGTGTGTGTGTGTGTGTGTGTGTGTGTGTGTGTGTGTGTGTGTGCGCGCGCGCGCGCGCGCCTGTGCCTATGTCTGTGTCGGTGTATATCTGTGTGTTCTCATTTTAGGACAAGCTTGCAGGGGTATTCCATGATGGGACTGAAGCATTCACTCAGTTCACCTGCCCCTGCTCCACCTTGGCCTTGTGCAATCTTTATTAGAAGAGCATTATCTCATGAACTGTTATTCACACCAAACTGCTTTGCTGTGGCATCCCTGGAGTACCAGTAACTACAACAAGTTAGACACAATGTGGGACAGATGTAGGAGGCTCTGGTGTGAGCACCATGGCACAAGTTAGCTTGAAATCTCCAGAGAGTCAAATGTATGTCTTCAGAGAAGGCAAATGGTTAGCCTGTAATCTGAAGTGCTCCCTGCTCCAAGCTGGATCTGAAGTGCTCTCCGCCTCCTGAGCAAGCCAGAAACTATTCAAGGCATGTTTGCGATCTGTCTATCACTCTCCACCTTGCCTCTCCCATTCAGATTTGCACCATAGCACTGGCTTGTCTACACTGAAAGACCGAAACAAAATCCTTGCACCAGCAAATATCATCATCTGTCAGCACCACATGCTCACTGTACGTGGCTCTCTTGGGGAACTAGGGGTAATGGCGCTGTCCTTTTACCTTAGGGAAGCACTGTGCTTAATACAGTTTGGTGCTCAGGCCTTTATTCAAGACCTACCCCCTCAAGAAATAACCACAGGAAGTTACAAACTCTTTACATTCTGTTTTTGTATACATGTTTATTATAGGTTCTAAACTAGACATAGTGAAGATTAGTGGCAAAAGTTAATAAGGTAGAACAATTATAATAGAATACTGTAATAAAATTCCCACATCTCTACTTTGCTCTTTGGGGGCTGTGGCCAAATAAAGTAAAAGCCACCTAGACACAAGTGCAGTCAGAATCATCAGTGAGGTGGATATCTGATGTGAGGGTGGCTGGCACGTGAATACACTGCACAAAGGAATGAATGCATCCCAGGCAGGAAAGAGAGTGCGGGACTTCAACACGCTACTCAAAACAGTGTTTACTTAACACTTATGAATTGCTTGTGTCTGGAACGACACAAGCATGGAATATTTTCATACCAGAGTTGATTGTGGGTAACTATAACCGAAGACACAGCTTAAGAGGGGCTACCACATGGTTGCCAGCCTTCACTTAGTAATAGACGATTTGAGAAATGCTCTTAGATAGTTCTAAGTTGAACACTAAGACAGCTACTGTCATTAGTCACTATAATCCTAGGAGCCTATCATGGTATAAACAGCTTGTCATTGAACAAAGTGTTATTTGGCATGTTACCGTGTTTAAAAGACATTTTAAACTGGGCTTTTACAGTCAGAGAGATGTCTTTACACATTCCCCAATTCATTTTATTAGATAATGTGAATACCATAAAATAACCTGAGAGCAGCAGCATTCTGTCATAGTACTAATACTTGGAATTTAACTTGTCCTATTACTTTAACTTCATAAAGAAAATGAGCAATGTTAGCATTTATGGTGTATTGGTGTTACATGCCTTTCCCGAATATGTTCATCCCACATTGGATACTGAGGACAGAGCAAAGAAACAGTTCTACCCAGGTCTAGTGTAGTGAACCAGTGAGTTACGGGGGGTTACTTACAAGAGCATGAATGACTGAATAGCAGCTTTATCCTTGGAAAGCCCATCCAGTATGGGTAACAATACTGGAAATCTGCTTCCCTGGAGCTCCCAGCACAGCAAGACTGGCAGGGGCCCTGTTCTGGCTAGAGAGCTTCCTCTCCTCATCATCGATTAAAACCTTAAAACTTTGGGGAAGAAGTCATGTGAATCTTGTAAACTTTTAGGAACTTCCTAAGCCGTTTAAGTTTTGTTTACTTCTTGAGCCTTCTGAGTTTCCTTCCAAGAGAGAGTGTTTCAGTTCAGAATTAAACAGTAGTACCTATTAATTAGGCATTAGTCTACTTAAGTTCTCTCCCTGTCCCTCTCCCTGTCCCTGTCCCTGTCCCTGTCCCTGTCCCTCTCCCTCTCCCTCTCCCTCTCCCCTTCTCCCTCTCCCTCTCCCCTTCTCCCTCTGCCTCTCCCTCTCCCTCTTCCCTTCTCCCTTTCCCTCTCCCTCTCTCCCACTCCCTTTCTCCCTCTCCCTCTCCCTCTCCCCTTCTCCCTTTCCCTCTCCCTCTCTCCCTCTCCCTTTCCCCTTCTCCCTTTCCCTCTCCCTGTCTCCCTCTCTCCCTCT